ATGTACAGAATTGACCTCTCTACAGATTTATTATATATAAGTATAGATAGATAGATAGATTAAGTTATGTGCAACAACATCACATACATTCTTCAGATTCCAAATTAAGTAGCTAAAGCACTTAAACGAAAAGTTTTACGAATACAAAAAAAAACTTAAAAGAATGTCTCGACCAGGAATCAAACCACTTGGAAAGGTGGTGATACCTTGAAATAAGAAACTCGGCGACTTAAATAGAATTATTTATCTGAATGAAAAATATCAATAATTTTTTGAAATTAATTAAAATATTTTTATTATGAGGGTTATAGCATAAATCTTGTCTCGTCTCATTTTCTAAGTAAAATTCAATGTTAAATTCAAAGTTAATTATAACTGTTGTTATTGTATAAATAGCTTAACCCAGTTTGAATCAAGTTCCAGATTAATATTCAGTTTTCCATAATGTTATTGCTCAGTCATTCGGTCATAATTGTTCTGCTAAACATTGAACACCATACGATTCCAACAGAAGTTATTATATTCCATATGGGTTCGCATTAGAGGGGTACATTAATCATTTTTCGGACCATTAACTTGGGGCCCTGAAACGTGGGAAACTTAATTATCACGGTTGTAGAGAACTATTCGTGTCAATCTATTTAAAGCCGATAGAAATGTATGGAAATGGGCAGACCTTATATATAGTCTTTGAACTTGATATAATAATAAAATTTTGGTTTATATCTATTGAGGTTTTTCGAAATATTATGGTATTTGCCAACAATCTTAATTTCTCATGCTACGAGTATCTTTGTTAAGCTCATTTGAGTAATAAATTAAAATTATAAGCTATACTTAATCAAATGGACTATATGTACTTTTGTAATTAACAAATGATAGCGTTTCCTTTTATGTTAATTGAAAGCAAAATTCATCTAAGGACAAGGGTATTAAATGACTGTGCTGATACATTCATGAAAACTACAATCACAAATGACCCTTGCGAACTTATAGTGTAACTCAAGCTTTTTCTTGTGAACGTTATATGTCTGAATAAGTTCAAATTGTATTTGAATAATTTGTTACATAGATAAAAGCTTTGTTTGTTGTAGATGACGACTACATATATTAGGTACTCTTTTTATAAAAGTCAAAGCCAAGTCTAACAATAAAAGCAAAATAACAAACATATTTTTGGTTCTTCAGTACACGTTTACTTATTCAATCTTCGTGTTATAGCCGCAGAAAGCTTACACGCCAGTTTTATAGTGTGGGTGTGTGTGTTTGGGAATTCAGAAACTATAACACATTCAAACATCTTGTTTTAGGAATCATGTTATGGATATTAGTGACAGAAAAACTTCTCATTTTGGTTCTCAGTTCGGGAATTGAACCCGAGCGTTTGAAAAATAACACAATGTTTCTAATAAGTTACCAATTATTAGGTCTTAAAAAATTTATGTTATTATGAAACAGGATCTCTAAAATGAAACAAGCTACCATAGAAAAAAATTAACTCACCTTAACGAGTTGAATGTTGTATTCAAAAATATACATGTATACTTACATTGTTTTGTTGCAGCCGTGGTCCCGCGAAGTATGTGAAGTAGTGTGCTGTCAGCTGGAGGTGTGGTGGGAGGTGGTGCCTGTAAGATTCGTGTTAGACCCGATCGTGTTGCCTCTGCCTCATTCCAGAAGGTGACTGTATTATTACTTGTTAATAGATCGGAGAAAATCTTCATTATGATAAGAACATTGGTATCACAAGTTTGCGTTCGTTCTATAACAGCATTCATTGTCAATATCAGAAATAAGAATGTTGCTAATACTGTAGGATTCACGCATCGTACATTTTTCGAGTCAACGTTTTAGTAGGGGAGCCGAAGCGGGGATTTCGGGATTTACTAAAGCGCGGCAGATTAATATACAGGGGGTTACCTTGTACCCAGTTAAGTACCTGGACCAAGTATGAGCCCTATAAAAATGGCCGCCCGGCAAGGACGAAGGATCAGATTAGTAAAAAAAAATTGATCATCTGAAAATCTCGAGCGCGTCAGATTAAGGTAAGGTGAGCTAGTTACATGCTAAAAGGTGTACATACCTCTAATCTGAGAATTTGAGAGTGACGTAAAGAAGGGGGAAGGCTACAAAGTTGTAAAAAAAAAACGTCACTTTGACATTCTCGAGCGTGGCTAATTTTTTTTTAATTTGAAGGGGATCATTCAAGGATTACGAAAAATATATAATCTGACGATTGTCACAAGCCGAAGTAATAAAAATTCATCGATAAGATTTAATGCGTTTAAGCTACGTGATACCATACAACAGTTTTTTTTTACATTTTAAAAATCTATAGCCGCTTCCCCCACCGATGAAAAGGAAAAATTATATGAAACTTTTTTTTTGTTATCATCTAAGCTTCGCAACCCAATAGGTCTCTATGACGCTCGAGTAAATCCCGATTTAGCATCGTGGGCTCCCCTACTATTTTATTTATAATTAGTAATTACAATTAATATTTTAACCTACTTTCACATCAGTTGTAATTCGTACTCTAGCTAGTATAACTACCTTGGTTTTTATAAAAAAAAATTGTTATCAGTTAAATCAGTATTTCTATCAAGATTACCTGTAACCGCTCAGATTCATATGACATACGACTGGTTTCTAAATTGAGAAATGTTTGAAATCTCAACTGATTATTCATTCCCAGTAGTCGAAGTTTTTTGTTTTTCACAAGGCAAAAAAAAAACAAAAATCAGAAACGAAAACCTGTTTGAATTTGAAGCGTGCTTAACTTTAAATACTCAAGCTAGGAACCTGGTGAGAGTAATATTTATGTGTGTATCATTAAATATTCCACTTCTAACATGTTTTTCTTACGTTTTCGAAAGAAGAGAAGAATGCTGAATACATCAACTTTTACTAATACTGGATAATTTAAAAAATGCTTTCACTCACGGTAGGTCACATCACAAAGGCTATCATTAACATGGGCTTAGTCTCGGGAAAACTTTCTTTCTGTTACGTAATAACTTCGAGTATCAAGGTTACTAGGGTCTAATTCTTGTGCACGCCTCAAACTCAAACAGGTTTTCGTTTCTGATTTTAGTTTTTTAAGCTCTAGTTATTATTTCGAACCCAAGACTTCTATCGCTGAGCTGGGCCCATCATTTGAAGACGTCGGAGATTGCAAACTTGAATTCGATTTAGACATTGCGATTGAGTTACTGCTCTAAATGTAAGGTCCGTTAGAATATGAATAGGGTATTCTGTTTATAATAAGACTTCAGTAGTAGAACTACGCATAAAGAAAAATACCACATAAGGAGACAGATGGAACAAAGATTGGGATTTCACGCGATATATGTTTTTCTTTTTGAATTAATTAGTACCTTCAGCCATATGACCCTACTTTCTCAATTATAAACAACAAATTCCGTGGACTTTAATTTGTTTGTTAAAAGTCTATTTAAAATTGATTGATTTTTGATTGGAGCCCCTTTAGAGGCAACAATCAAAACTAATATTACAAAGAGGAAAGATTTTATCGTTTGTTTGTTTATGGCTCCGAAACTATAGGACCGATTTTAAAAATTCTTTTACCTACGGGTAGCGACATCATACGGGGTTGATATAGGATATAATTCACGCGTGCAAAGTCACGGGATAACACCTAGCAGTATATATATTAATGTTGATATTACTATCTCCAGTTCAATTAAGCTTTGATAAAAATACCCTTCTTATAGCATCAGGCACCCCCAGATAGGCAATATTGACTCGGATTAACTGTGATTGAAGCACCCAATAATTAAAGACACAACTTACCCAGTAATTCGTTTTACTTTGCTCTTTACGGCAGCGTTACCATCTATTCGATAGTAAAACTGTCTGTAAATTAAATAAAAAACGGACCATTCGCTAGTCTGTCTACCTGTTTTTCCGTTTATTAGTATATCAAAAAGTTTACATTTATATGAAAGAATAAACATATAGATAAGCCAAACGTATACCTCATATGGAGGAAAATAAAAAAAGTTTTTTTTTTTAAGGTTAACGTATATTAAACGTCTAGTTTTTCTTTTTACCTCTGGAAGATTTTTTATCTGAAACTTCACATTGTTTCATTATAACAACTTCCCAGTTTATGCGGGATTCCCAATACTTTGTTGTATAATTTGTTTTCTCTCTGTACTGTACAAAAGAAATTGGTAAAGTTTATTTTTATTTTAGGTGTGTGTGTGTAGAAACGCTTTTAAAGAAAACAAAAAGTCGTTTGTTCCTAAATAATGATAAAGTAACAGCCTCGTTTTCTTTGGGTATTATTTATATTGTGAGTCTTATTTTTTATTCAATAAGATTCAAACAATAATGGAATTGTGTAATGTTGGTTTTGGATTTCTATAACATATCAAATGATATTTAAATATTAACATGAAAATATTTTCAGGTGAATCTCAAACGAAGTTTTTTATAAATGAGTATTCTTTGATATAAATGAAAACGTTATTGGAAACTTATACTCATTGAATGGTTATTGATTGACTGATACTAAAACAAAATAAAACATGATGATTTTTTTAAAGCTTTGATGGATATTTTTAAACATGAAGATTTTTTATTGAACAGGGATTGTCATAGATTAATAAGGTTTTTTAGTTCATAAAGAATAACTGTTTGATGGTTGTCTGTTTGACATATAAAGAAAATCCAGAGATCCAAATACATTACCAAAGATACAATATCGTTTTATTATAAACATTACTAAATACCTGCAAATAAAATAAAAGAGAACGTGGGCCAAGTTCCCCACATTGTGGCGACCGTCTTTATAAAGGAAGTAATAGAAAAGCGATATTGTAGAGATGGATCTAAAAAGATTAACGCGTGAGAGAGATCATCTTCGAAGAACATTCAGCCGCCATGAACCAACTACCGTTTCATTAATCGACTTAGAGTTTTTGCAAGAAAAAATTGAAAGACTTGCAATTGTCGATAAGGCTATTCAAGATCGGATGCTAGCCGAAGAAACATTTGATGAAGAAGCCTTTAGAAATGAATGCGAGCAGTGTGACGTTTATCGAAAAAAATGGCTAACAGTTAAGATGAAATTAACGGATTTGGGTTGTAGGAATGAGATTATTAAAGATGGAAACAAAAAACATAATCTCAATTTACCCAAATTAGAGATAAGGAAATTTGACGACAACCCGAAGAAATGGTTATCGTTTTGGAGTCAATATAAAAAAATACACGAAGATCAAACAATTGATGCTGAAACTAAGTTTCAATATTTGACGCAAGCAATGACCCATGAGAGCAAAGCAAGATGCTTCGTTAATAGTTACCCACCGACCGAGGAAAACTATGCAAAAGTGATACACACTTTAAAGGAGCGTTATGGTAAAGACGATATGCTAATTAAAATATATGTGCGTGAATTGTTAAAGTTAGTGAATACAAATAGCAAAATGTTATTAAGTGATTTTTATGATAAGATTACAACTAATTTACAAATATTAGAATCTTTACGAATTAATCACGAAAAGTATGAATGTATTTTACTTCCTTTAGTTGAAACAGCATTACCAGAGAGTACTTTATTGTTGTGGAATAAGGTACCGTGTACACAGGGGGGTGCAAAGCTTAGTGATTTGTTAAAGTTCTTACAAACAGAAGTAGAAGCTGAGCGACGTGCAGATCTAACAAGATATTACAACATAGATGACTCACCAACTAGCGAAGCTTTCCCAACAGCAGCGTACCTATTGTCGAAAGCGCAGGTGCCAATTAATGTAAAGGTGAATCAACAAGTAAAAGAGAGTTGTGAGTCGAAGACCGAAGTTTTAAATAACTATTCTAGCATTAATACTTCAATCCTGCTTCAAACGTTGATTGCTAAAGTTCCAGTAGGTAATCAAGAGAGAAAAGTGAGAGTACTGCTTGACTCCGGTTCACAGAGATCTTACATAAAAGTTGACGTGGCTAAAGAACTCGGACTGCAGGTAACAGGAAGTGAATGCCTTACACATTCGTTATTTGGAGAAATTCATAAGGCGGCACAGATACATCAAGTTTATGAATTTCAAATAAGCAGTAAACTTGTAGCTATCAAAACAAACATCGGATGGATGATACAAGGACGGATTCAAACTCCTACTCTAAGTGACAACGAAGTTAAACCTGATGTAAATTCCCTAGAGTATATGAAACAGAATATTGAAACGTTAGGTATTAAGGATCCGTATATAGAAAGAACTATTAAACGACATTCAAGGAAGTTTCAATGGCACCGAGTCACAATCGCAGAAAATGACAGGTAATAGTATACCTCGTCCCTTAACCACACGTCTGGACGAACAGTCAAATTGACGTCTCGTTTCATGGACTAAATGTGTACCGTATAACTATTAATATGCATAAAGATACTCACGTCAATTGATTTTATTATGTTAGTTTTTAAAGATTGTTTATGTTATTTCTTTATGTTAAAAATGATTATTTTAGTTGAAGTGATAATAGTTTGTTACGAGTTTTAGTCAGTAGTATGTATAGATTCTGCCGCCGGGAGTGATGTCATAGATTAATAAGGTTTTTTAGTTCATAAAGAATAACTGTTTGATGGTTGTCTGTTTGACATATAAAGAAAATCCAGAGATCCAAATACATTACCAAAGATACAATATCGTTTTATTATAAACATTACTAAATACCTGCAAATAAAATAAAAGAGAACGTGGGCCAAGTTCCCCACAGGGATGACGAGTTATATTTATTTGTTTCTCCGTGATATATACTCCGTAGATTGTTGTAAAATATTAAACACGTATTTATTTATTTATTATTAATAATTACATTCCGGCGAAACGTTGAGTTTAAATGTCACATTAGGTCACGCTTTGGTACAGTTTCTACAATACTGCGTAGCGAGCCCCCACTCCTCAACTTTAATGTTTGTTATCTAAGCTATTTCTTGTTAAATTGAAGTAAAAAAAATAAGTATCAATTTTTTTTCTACTATCTGTGTGACGAACTAAATAGAATTTCTTTTTTACCCAGTTATGATACCTATTAAATAACTTTCATTAAGGTTTACCTATCAGGAACATGACCTTGGAATCTTTAAAATGAACGCTGGAAAAAATTCTTTGGTTCGAGTGTAGTGATCTACTGCGGTCTACTCAAATTAAATATACTTACTTTTCGATCAGGGTAAAGAATATAGAATTGACACTCCGAGCGACCCAACTGTTCGGTTGCGATAACATCCGAGCGTCCTGGTTGCTCCCGTCGCGAGTGAACGTCCCGAATGTACCACCTCTACTTGCGCCGGCGCATTCCCATGCGGCCACTATAAAGATACCTCTACCTAGCCTGCCCAATGAATACCCTGCCACTGATGTATTTGTGTAAGCTTTAGAGGTATTACCTCTATTTACTTATTGTAGATTTTTTTCTTATGATTGTAACAAGTGTCTAGGTTAACGGAATACCACAGATCACCCTTAGCACAAAACAGCATTGAATGGGAATTGTATTTATAATAAGTGGAAATTTTACATTATCGTGTTGGGAATCTTAGTATATTTTATGGAAACTTACAAATGGGGAAAAGTAATAAGACACTTTGTAAAATACTGTTTTATTCGCTAATCACATCACGGGGTGGGCATCGTACACTCATCGAAATGAGTTGAGAGCAAAATTCTAAGGTAGTAATTAATGCAGAACCCGTGAAGAACTGAGTGCGAGAAGGGTGGACACAACAGTTATCGGTACGATGTAATCAGTAGAAGAGGTGAGTCACAGGAGCAAACTAAAACGTTTTTCAAATATGGAACATGAAAATAATCGGTCGAACAACATCTTCACAATGTACAGGTTGAATGCTGCGAACGACGAATGGCAAGCTCAGAGCCTGATGACCAGATGGTGTGCGACCCGACACCCGGGCCTGAGGCCTGCGAGCGTGTGGCTCGGGATCGTGCCGCCCGGCGCACACATGAACGCCGACCTACAGATACACAACGACACCCACCAGCATGTGAGTTAACTAACTAACGGCGAACATCAACGAATGCCTGAAACAAAGATTATTACACAGGCGTAATGTAGCAAAAATCAATTTCCTTCGGCTGACTGGGAAGAAATTTAATCCATCGTCATCATCATTAGCCTATCGATATCCCCCCAAGGGAACTCGGGTCCTTTTTGTGGATTTGTGAATTAAACCCAGAATCTCGGAAATGCGTCATCTCGAATCCATCGTATGATCTACTCGGCGGATAAAGATATATTAAGTGGTCGTATGCGTAGACATATTGGTGGGGCTCCGTGTGGCGGTGGTGGGGCGAGAGGGAGCCCAGCGCGCAGTGCGCGGGGCGGGCGGCGTGCGCGCGCTGCCGCCAGCGCCGCTGCTCCTGCGCGCTGCTGCGGCCCGCGCGCGGCGCGCTGCACCACCGCCAGCGCACCGGTCTGCTCTACGACGTTAATGCTCCCGGTGTATGTTCCTTTACTATATGTATTCACGATCGATTGCCCCTCAAATGGAAGCGCTCGAGGGTCGACCGACTTTATGGCTGGAAGAATGTCACCAAGATATATTTCTAAAAATAGCGAGCAGTTTATTCATTACTAGGTAGTAGTAGTTGCAGTAGTATTCGGTTAAGAAGCGTTCAGTTACATATATAATTATCAATATTTTCACGCCGTAGCCGATGCGGAGTAGCCAGAGAGGACTGAGCACTACAAGGAACGGTCGTTACATACATATGTAACCTCCTCTACTTTCATTTCTGTTTTTATACGTAATCGCCGGTTTTTATGGTTTCTGAGATTTTTAAACAGATATCCTTGTTTATCTTGTAGAAAAAACACTTAAATAGCGCTCCAGATGTTCGAATTGAGATTCAAATCCGTGACCTTCGCCAACAGGACAACTCCTCTACTAATTGGCAATGTATTTCCAACGATATTTAACTAAACTACCCAAACAACGCTCAAAAAATAGTAGCAAAAGTTCAAGTAAGAACATGAAAAATTTGATGAACACGGTATGACCTCTAGTCTCGATTGGTAAAGAACTACAATTTCTATTTAATAATCATCCTCTTTCTTGTCCATTTCATTAACAGAATCTAAAAAGAGATCAAAAAAGGGATTTTTAAGCATTCTTCATTAATAATATTATTCAGTATATTCATTGTGAATGCGAAATTGATCGAATATAATAATTAGAACAAATTCTCATGTTTATCGAATGTTTCAATTTTGTAATAATATTTGTTTCGGCTGTTTGGGTGGATGCCTGAATATTGATGAGAATATGCTCTGTAGTATCGAAAAGTAAAAAGTGCTTAAAAGATTCGTCAGTCCTGTCAGGTCCTGGGTAGGTCAGTGGTTAGAGCAGTCGCCCGGATAGCGAAAGGTCATGGGTTCGAATCCCATCTCAGGGTGCCAGGAACCAAGTGGATTTTTGAGCATTTTGTATTAAGAATATTTCTCAGTATAGCATTGCGAAATTGATCAAATCTAAAAAGAGAGTTCTAATATAGTCAGGTTCATATCCGCCATTACTCACTCTATAATAATATCCTTCATGCCTGAACTCACATAAGATTTGATAATTTTGACATACGACCTTATGACTGACCGTCAAAGGTGCTCTGATCCTTTCACAACGTTCTCGTATTACTTACTGGACCCTTGTAATAAATTTGGTGTCGAATGGATTTTCCATATTACCTTTTCTCGCTATTTCGTAAATCTTCTCGGATTCACTTTTGTTTTTTTATGATGTCTAAAAGTAAATAAGTATTGTCTTTCAACGATCAATCAAAAGCTATCTATTTTATTAAGAAGATTTTGAAATTTTAATTTCTTTTTGACATTTTAAAAAATCTTCATTGATTTTAAAGTTAACCTGTAGAACTGACTTTTTATAAAATAACAGCCGTTTTTTTGCACTGGAGCCTTGCTATTTTTAATCCAATTCTCTGTTTAAGCACCTATCTGTAATGTTAGAGTAATATCTGGGTAAATAATTCACCTAGCATTATTTAGATTGATAACTTAAAAATATGTAAATCATTTGCAATTAGAATGTGGTAACATGTTGTGTCTTTAACTAGTTTTGCACTAACAATGACTGTTTAGAGTCAATAGACCACAAATTATAAAAACTTTGATTATAAATTCTCATTACATTTGTTAATTATTTAGTTGATTTTGGCATGAATAAAGAAATCTATATATTAATACGTGAAGCAAAAACTTTGGACCCCTTTTTACGAAAATTGTGAGGACGGGGGAGTATGAAATTTGGCACACTTATTGTTTTTATGTAGAAGAAGTGCAAACGACTTATATTTTTCAATAATAATGCTTATAAAGGACATTAAATCGATAAATAAAACATTAAACACACTATTATGCATTTGGCACACACATACAAGTATTTGCTACACGCATACATGTACTCTGTGGTCAAATTGTTTCTTTTGACATAGAGTTGGTTTGTTTCTTTTGAATATTGGCTTCGCACGGTTTGTGCATTTAGCCTGTGTAAAGTTGTATATGTTTACCGTAGACATCTATTAATATTTTTGTGATGTTTACTGTGGTCTTACTGAATGTCAAAAGATTTTCGATTTCAGAAATTTCATATACCTACAGGAAAAATAAGTGATTTTAAGTGATAAATACAATGCAATGCAATATACAAATGTGCTATCGTTTTATTTTTAACGAAAGATCTGTAGCAATAATCTAAATGAAATATCATCATGCAGGTAAAAAATATATAAATCTGTTATTGCTGGTTCAAAGATCTTTTGTATTTTTTATTGTGGAGGCTAAACAAATCTTTTTCTCTTCTTGATTTCAGTAATTTCATGAGAGAATTTTCATTATGCCTCGACGTAGAACATTATCAGGTCGGAGTGAGAGACAAAGAAGAAGGAATAATTCTTATACTGTTATTAATTCAAATACTGTTAACAAATATAGTCTTTGACAATAGAACCTTAATAATGTTTGAACATTATATTTTAATAAATTATATTAGATAACTTCTAATTGAAATTTATTATGGTCGAATTTCGACCACTGGGCGACCACTAGTTATTATTATTATACTTACTTTGTTGTTAATGATCAGAACATTGATTCTGTTTATTTACAGATAAGATAATTCATAAAACATGTGAATATTAAAACTATTAACGAGATAGAAAACTGTTTAAGACATTAATTAAACTACGTATAACGAAAAAAAACTTAATAACAACTGCATAATATTGTATATTAAAAAAATGTTGCTTTATTACAAAAACTATTGCAATACGGAAATTGGTAAAAAGGTCTGCTTTGGTATTCTATAAAAAACTGCGTCGCACGCTATATCGAACACAGTTATGGCACAGCATTTTGAGGCTCTCTCAAATAAAACCTGCTTCAAATATATACTTTAAATTAAAAAAAAGTGCTGCAGATAAGAATATTTTTACATTCATTTTACAATCGTAGGGTATTAGTTTTTTAACTTGATTTTGTCCTACACAATATATTTTTTTTGATATACGGCCACACTGAACTAGATTACGGAAGAAAATGTAGAGGAATTTTATATTTAAATTTTGTTCGTATTTTTATAAAGACCTGCTTGGAATTTATTAACCGTCGGGTCCGCTTTGACGAAGCATTCAGGCGTGAGGCGGCGCCTTATGGGCCGCTCTAATGAGGTGACCAAGACTTAGCGACCTCATTCCTTAGAGGACCGACCGGCGAAGCGTATTGAGATAGACTCGGCGTCTTTCATGTTAATGTCACCTGAATTCTAAGTCATTGTACTTGTTCAGATGCCTAATTTTACATATCAGTGTGAGCCCTTTATGATCTAGATTCTCATTCATACCCGTTCCCCTTTTAGCTACCATTCATACTTTTTACGTTTGAGAATTGTTGGAGAAATGTGGGAGGATATACATTTTTAAAACAACCGTCCGAATCATAAATCATGAGAGTACACGGCAGAAACTTGACATCACATTCGTCATATGTTTGCGGAGATTAAGCTGTTAAGGTCGGTCATCGGGATGTGTAAATGAAAATATATCATATCTAATTTTTCGTGCTTTGAAAATCACATTAAATATTGCTTCCGACTTAGCATTCGTTAAAGTATTAGACTTGCGTAGATTAAATATTTCATTTGCTTCAAACTATATCCTAACAGTCGAGACATCATCATAATATATTATAATAAAAACTACTATTTTGACAGTCGGTTTTGACATCGAATCAAAGTCGAAAACAATCCTTAAAGTTGACTTTATTATCGATATGAGATTACAGACGATGCATCGGTACGTAACGTATGCAGGACTCGATGCGGACGAGCGCGCACTAGTCTCATACTAGAGCCTGCTAAAATCTAGCTTTCTGTAACTTGAAAATATAATTTGGCGTGTGCTATTTAATTATTGACAACCTCCATGACTCGCACACTGGTGTCAAAGTCTATTTCTGAGGTATTTTTCTATACTGTCTCGGGTCTGCGTGTTGTGAATGTGATACCTATGTTGTTTAGGAAATCAAATTTTATTTTTCTAGATTTTCAAATAATTTGATTGTCATTATTATTAACAATGTTGTTGCTACGACAGCGTAACCTATCGATAATATCGTGACACAAACATCCTTAACCAATACTATCTATAGAATGGATTCTTAAAAATAAATAATATTGTTACTCAAGGTCGTTTCAATAGGGTCTATCGATAATGAAATGAAAATATCTTTATTCAAGTTAAGGCTATTTTACAAGCACTTTTGAATCGTCCTAAAATTTTTTCCCCTACCACTTGTTCAGGACGTCTTTTAGCTGACAAGAAGAACAAGCGAAAGAAACTTTCCAGCTCTTTATCATAAGTAATGACATTTACATAAATCATGTCATTACCAAAATAATATTTATTATCAGTTATCACAATAATAAATACAACTTTCAAAGTCTGTAGGACATAGGTTGAACATATAATTAGTCTTTATAGAACAAGGCGAAGGCTATTAATTCCATGCATTGCGATTCTTAAAATAATCATCAACGATATGATTACAACACCGGGGATTTTATTACATTTTCATTAATAGTATTTTTCAATATAGCATTATGAATGCGAAGTTGATCAAATATAATAGTATTAGTTGTTTCACAGAGCGACGGTTGTGTAGCGACACTGCTGCAAGTGCGTCGCACCGCGGGGGACGTGGGGCGGGTGCCGGGCGCGGCGGGGACGGACGCGCGGGCCGCGCTCGTGGCATACAGGGTGCTGGCGCCGCGCCTCGTGCTGCGCGCCCTGCCGTGCCACGGGGACAAAGTGCCGGGGGAATGTGAGAACGGACAACACTATCTTATGCTCTGTATACACTCTACTGAAGATGTGATGTTGGGTGTTATTGGGTTACAATCAAACAAACTATAAATCGGCGAACGCGTATTTAAAGAGTAATGGACGCCGAGTTAGTGAAATTCGTTCGTTCGATTCTCTTTGACTAACTCTTAAGATATCCAGCGTGAAGCTTTTAGGTACACTTAAACGGCACGCCTCCAACCTTATGATCAATTTCTCCATGAACCATTAAATTGCATACAGTTGATCTTGCATAAGGGAGAACTGGGCAGGCGGGGAAGCTCTATTAACACTCTAAAACTTCCATCAATGAGAAACAAAAATCACATTAACAGAAAGTCATTTTTCATTGGTGAACCTCAACAGCCGACACAGGCATCCACCTCTACCTCTATAAGTGACAATTAAAACTATTAAACTTCTGCTATTTATGACATGATTTTTGAATTTCGGAAAGTTGCAATTGTTTTTCTTTTCTTAGCTATGAAAAACAAAAAGACTAAAAGTGCTATCGTGTAATATTTTAATGATAATACCAGATGTACGTGTGCACAGACTTTTTGGTGAACTTTTTAATTGCAAAGAAAATCTAAGTATTGTCATAAAATAAAAAGACCACTTCGTACCTCTAGTAAGCTAAAACACGGGTCAGTGAGATACCTTTCCAAATCGATAAAAAACGCTCTCCAATCCAGGGTTCGCTGACGAAGGCATGATGCTCCTGAGCCTTTTAATACGATTAATATAACTATAGATCTAATGGGCCATTTACACGAGGTCAGGTGCCAAGACAGTCCAATAAGCCAGGCCAGTATTGGTATCGTGTAGATAGTCCATTACTATGGCCGCGCAGGCGAGGGCTGCTGCCTGGACGCGGGCGGGGGCGCGGGGGGTGCGGGGGGCGCGGTGCTGCGGCCGGGCGCGGCGCTGCGCGCGGGGCGGTGCAGCTGCTACCGGCTGCGGCTCACCAACACCACGCCGCTGCCCACCACCGTCACCTGGGACGAACCGATAGGTACAACCGTTGTTGTTTAGATAAATCATACGATACAGTACTGCGTTTTTTAGGTTTCCGTACCTAAAGGGTAATTATGGGAGGCCTGTTACTAAGACTTCGCTATCCGTCTGTCACTAGGGTGTATGTTATGAACTGTGAAAGTTAAACAAAAAATACTAAAAACCAGAATGAAATAAATATTTAAAGGAATATTAAAATACGTTTAGATGGAGAAATAAATAAACATTAACTCACGGAAAAAGGTAGCCGTTCCCGAGTGTCTTGCCGGTTCTTCTCAGTACGAAATGTCTCGCTGTAGATTTATTAAGCGATGGCGTAGTTTTCGACATTCACGAGTGCTCGTATCAGCCTTGCCTGAATAAATGATACTGATTTTGAATTTGATATATACATTCGTGGTTTTGATGAATAAAATAAAATTCCATTTATTTGAACAAAATTACTGACACACGTCAGAAGTTATGTGAACATTACGGGCTTATCCCTACCCGAGGACTTATTACATTTAATTTATAACACAAATACACTTTTTGTTTTATGAATGTTCAATTCTTTGAACTCGACAGCATATATCGACACGATAAGAGACACTTCGCATTAACTCCGCTAAAGTCCATCGACGTGTGCCGAGTATCTTAACATTTTCATCTTTTTTACAGAAAAAGAAGGCGTAATCAAAGTGACATTCATACCGAACGACTTTGACGTCGGCAGTTACGCGCAGGTGGAGATAAGGGTGAGTGCTGAGTGCCCACTTTAACTGAAGAAGTATACTTACGTTTTGTCATATACACAGATAATTTAAATAGTTACTACGTTTCATACGAAGATACCTCGCTAACTCGAGCAATTTTTATGCCACGCACATTAATCATCATTGAATGCGCCAAAAGAGGAGAAATATTATTAGATTTGTTTATATGAAAACACCAGTAATGTGCTGTAGTCTGTCTATTCTGTTATATTCTCATTCGTTGTCGAACGAGTTCGAGGCTGTTTTTTTTTTCAATAAAATACGCGCCCTAAAATTCTTATGCAACCACGCACTGTTGCATAAGAATTCTCATGTTACAAATTGTAACAATTAAAAGTCATAGTGTAAAAAAAATCTTTCGATCGGCGAGTCAGCTTGTGAGTAAATACTCGTAGTAAAAACTCAGATCGATGGCATTGCCTTTTGACTCCAATGTCTGATACTTACTTATTTCTAAAAGCTTTTAAACTTCGCCACCTACCATCAAATAACGAATGAATTTTCATCGTTATAAAACGTTCTGAAGTTTCAAAGTGCCATTTAGTGTTACGGAACCGATGACCGTGTTTGTTGGATATGATGACCGTGTTTGTTGGTGTATCATTTCATTTTTATTATGAACTACCTAAACTCAATACATTTTTATTGGAAGCAAGAAAGGTTTTAGGGATCCCAAGATATCGCCATAGCTTCCACACTAAATCACATTGACCCTTTTGTGTTTGAATCGGCAATGTGTTTCAGTGAGGTTGACTGAGCTCTCAATATTCGTTAACTGGTTAACTAATACGCCAAATAGCCGTTGAGAGTAAAATTAATAAAGTTTCCAAAGCTCCAAAGAGGAATGGCCTCAATTGTTCTTTAAGCAAGAGGGTTATGTTATGGCCCTCTTTTTCTTTCAAGTGGCAGAAGTGAAAGATAATTGTTTATTTGTGGTGACACCTATCACAACATGCCAATATCACCACAATAACCGACGATAAGACGAATGCTTTAATTAATTACTTCGCATAGTTAAAAGATGGCGCTGCAATACCTGAATTGCACTTATTAAGATTTGCTGCGACTAAAAATATATATAACTTCTTATAGATCACAGGAGTACCTATGTACGGGTCAACGTACATTATTTGCCTTGTAAGCAATATGCAACATCGCGACCTATTTTAGGGGCTTGCAAAAAATATTAACATTTTTAGTACAATAAAGAAACTGAGTAGTATTTGTTGAGCGTTTCATTTCTAATGCATTCTTTTTGGCACTTTTTAACATTGTCTTAAGCTGGTTTTAGTATCACGTTGACCGTCAGCGCCGACGTTCAACGTAGGCTACGCCGCTCGCTCAGCGCTGACGACCGTCGGCTCTGATCCGTGCGCGGACGTACCCTACGCGTTGCGCGTCGGCGCTGAATGTTATCGCACATGCGGACTGAGTTTCGAGCGTTTAGCGTGTACAACCATATGGAATGGCGATGAATACAGGAGAAGTGTATCAATGCATCCGATCCACTTTACATGAATAATGAAGCCAGAAATAATTCCTACAGCATCGTGGTAAATAAACTTGACCATTGTTAGCGTTTCAAAATTTCTTGTTATAACACAAATGTAGTTAAAAGACTTGTTATCTTTATCTCTTTCAACTCTGTTTCAAATAGTGTCATCTAGTTGAACAATATCACAAATGCACCCACTAGCAATCTTTGAGTAAAAGTGTATGAACATTCTGGATTTTCTTTTTCGTTGTTGCATTTTTCTTTTTGCATAAATAATACACTGCAGCAATTTAAACACTGACAGGATTTGTCATGTCTGTACTTCACAGTGATCAGCACGAAACTAAACGAGTATACGCTGACTGACAGCTTACGCTGATAGATACGCGCGTGGTCGTCAGCGCGGTTAGTCCACGTTACACTAAAACCAGCCTGATCGTCGTGAAGTACAGACATGGCCAATAATTTACTGGAGGAGAGTAATAACTCGTTCAACCTATAAGAGGTATTAAAATTTAATATTTAGACGAAACATTTAGTGCGCGAGTCCAACTCGCTCTTGGCCAGTATTATATTTATATCGATAGACAGATTAAAGAATATGTTCATATTCTTATAATAACTCCTTTGTGATTTTTTCATTGAAATTATCTTAGAATTCAATATAGTCGCCTTCACGAAGCTAATGAATTCATACGGTCTCTTATTCGATATTTGCGCAGCTTTGTGAGTGGCAATATCGCCCTATTGACTTGCCATTTGGTCTGCGGAATGGAAAGTATCACAGCACTTAGTTTACATTCTCTCACAGCTGCAATAGCTGAAATTCTTTCTGAATCTTGTGAGAATGCAGAATTGCAGAATAGACTAGTTTAGTCAATATTATATGTAGTCTTATATTATGTTCCTTTAAAACCGTAGAATAATTTTAATTTATAATTTAGACAAATATATCTCGATGTTTTTTTAATCTTGAGTGTGCATAAAAATGACAATTATGAATAATAAATGTCAATCGAAGCTTGAATTTCGCTTGGTTGAATTACAATTATGGCGTCCATTACATATTAGAGAAGTACCTTTTGTGTCCCGCTACCAGTATTTCTATTTAAAAAAAAAAACAATTTATTTCGTTGTGTGCTTTATTGATAATCCGTCATTTAATTTAACGTCACAGATAGCCAGTTGCACAAACATCCATTAAAATTCTCATTAGCTTAAAGCCACTTTACCCATACAAATTTGACATTTATTAGAGCCTAAAAGCGCCATTAAACCTTAATGGACGTTTGTGCAACTGACCGAGAGTCGATTATATTATTTTGTTTTATTTTTTTTATTTCCATTAATGCTAATGCTAACATTTTACTTATTATAAGGTGCTGTCTGTAGACTACAGACGTCTCTTTATACCATTGACTTATAGGTGAGTTAGTGTCACATTGAGAAAGTCATATATTTTTATATAGCAACTAGATTTTGCCCGCGTCTTCGTCCGCGTGGTATAGTTACTTTGGGCAGTTTATCTAAAACAAATATTTTTTCATTATATGGTGTAAAATACCTGAATATAAAGTTTCATGATTTTATCTTTGATAATAACGAACTTCCATATAAAATTTAATTCCTTATTCCAACTCTTTTATACAATAAAAAATTACTCAAGTCAACTCTTTTTAGTGAGTTCGATGTGAAAGCGTTACTGACATATACACAGACCTACTTTCATACGTATAATATTATGGAAGAATTAAACGTTTTGATTCCCCATAAAAACTTTCACTCCAACTTTAATCTCCCTTAAT